ACACAGCGCCTGCCTTGAAGTAAAGAGCTTACATAAAGGACGGCTAGTGCTTATGAAAAACATAAAATACACACGACTTTGAGTCTTGAATATGCTCAATTGGGTAAATTGAATTCAGGAAAATTAATGTAAACGCCAACGTATGGCGTTCTCTTCTCTCTGTGTTGTTACGCTGTGTCACAGAACAGTAGTAGCCTTCCAGTAAGCGCAGGGTAGTGAACTCTTCTGTCCATGAAATGTCAAAAAGGGGGAACTCGTCAAAAAGGTATTTCGCTATTTCACTTTTTGATGGTTTCCCAATGAGTTTACAGTAACCGTCATGGAATTAATTAAGCTTACACATAAAAATAATAACATTATTATTATTGTACCTGTATGTTACTGGGTTTTATTGATTCATGGCATTTAGGCTGAAAGATGATATTACCATAGTTTTGGTACAATTACATATCAACAAGCGACACATAACAACAACACTTCTACTTGTTGCTGGTGTTAATTAACGGTCCACAATTCAACATGAAGACAATTATAAATAAATGGTCTCTGATTGTGAAATAAATTCTAAAGAAGTAAAGCACAAGTACAAAGTTGTTGTTTTTTCTTCATTCCTTTCTGTCTCCGGTAATTATACTCCTCGCGCTGGGGCTATACGGCGTTAGTGCCGTTAGGGCGCTTCCCCTGGTTGGTGGATATGGAGCCCCTTCTTGTAGATGGGGGTTGCACAGGATAATAATACTATTATTATTAATATTATTATTACTATTATTATTAATAGGCTACAGAAAAAAAGGTAACGACTAGTAACGTGGACCAACATCGCCTTAGGAGAAGAGAAACTGTTATTCCAAACTGGGGTACCACAGACAGAACCCGCTTAAGCTACCTTTGGGCCAAACAATCGAACCTGTCTAGGAGAAAGAAATCTCTGATTCCATAAACTGAGGCAGAGTACAGAGCTCTCTCAGCCTTGAAAGAAAGTCTGTCACGGAGAAGGTATGCCTAACTCTGATCTCAAATCCCTGACAGACAGTGCTCGTTAGCCTTGGCAGGCAGGCTGTCTTGATGGAGGAAACACTGACTCCAAACTGGGACAGACAGAGCTCACATAGCTTTGGCTCGCCATCTGTCCAGGAGACAGGAGAAGGAACTCTAATGATAAACCAATTGTTACTTGTTACTTGTGTTACTTGTGTGAAGAACCGACATCACTGCACAGGGGGCATCTCCATAAACGCTCCGTCCCCTGGAGAAGCACATCTCGAAGTGTGTAGATGCTGACGGTTCCAAGCAATGGTTGATTCCACTGGATGACGAACCACTGTCGCCTTGCAGCGGGCCCTGAGAAATCAAAGGCTAAGGGTGCGAACCCCAGCAGAAAACCAGGCCGGAATCGGATTACCAGGCCCAAAGGCGCAATTAAAACAGAAAGGAGTAAATAAAGAGCTTGCAAACTGTGGTGCCACGTAGCAAACTTCACGAATGGTAGAACACAACAGGCTGAAGCACCACATGTTCTCCCGATTCAAGATAGGTGATGGACCCAACTGTCCTTGTGGTGTCAGCCGCCAAAGATGCACATCCCCCCTGGGCAGTGCCATTGACTGTAGTGTCTTTAGGCCATTCCCAAAGGGGGGACATTTCTCGTTCAAGCATATTAGAATCGTAAATGGGCTGACTCCGAGGTGGTAAATATAGTTTAGCGCCTCGGTTGACTCATGTCACGCTCATAACTGTGCCTGATCTACAACAGGGAACTGCTGCTTTTTTCTTTTCTGATCCTTATTATTGTCATTTTCCTCTACTTCTTTTGTATGTTTGTCACTCTCTTGGGACCTGCTATTTTGGGGTGCCTTGATAGTCGAAGCACACCTTGTGCTGTTGAAGCTAGAGAGGTGAGCAGTCAAAGTCTGATTCCCTGTAAAGACTTCTCTGTTGACACCCACCCCTTGGCGTTCATATGACCTTATGCAGTTGCGAGCGCCGTAAAACCCTGCTACTATTTTTTTTTTAAAGATGCACAGCCTATTCTCCAGGACTGCCTTCTACTGGATAGGACAAGACAAAAATGCTGGCCTCAACCCAGGGACATGCACCAGAAGCTGTATGGCAGCCCTCTAGACCTGGAAATCACTGCAGAATTCATCAATACGTCAGCCCTCACCATCTAAAAAGAAGAAGGAGGAGGAGAAGGAGGAAGAGGATGAGGAGGAGGAGGAGGAGGAGGAGGAGGTAATTATTGTTCCTAAGTCTAGTTTTCTTTCCTACGTCTCATTGTTCCCAACTTCTCTTTCTTTTGCTGCTGTTCCTCTTCTTCTCCTTCTTCTTCTTCTTCTTCTTCTTCTTCTTCTTCTTCTTCTTCTTCTTCTTCTTTTTCTTCTTCTTCTTCTTCTTCAAACGCATACAGAGTCAGAGAGGGGTTCTCTCGTGGTCTAGAGGTTAAGGTGTTCGCCTCTCATTCAAAGGTTACTGGTTCGAATCCGGGTAGCGACGGGAAAAATGTTTTCTCTAAAATTACCTCCTTTCATATCCTTTCCTGTTCTGTAGCCATTATTCTGAGGGGGTGACCAGGAGGGGGTGGGGGTTGTGCCTTTGGTAGGTTGTGGGGGAAGACCCCATGGCATTGAAATATACCATCAGAGTCTGTTGACTGTTACAACTGTCATCTGGAATTGCGAACCGCCTTGTCATTCTTCGTTCTAGCATGAATGTAATCCACTTACACAACTCGACTTCATTGTAATTCGTTCTTCTCAGGGGCTCAGCAAAACAAAAAGTGTTTATGAAGACAATACATGTAATAGTAGAAGTATTGCTGCTAGGATCTTTTTTATTTGTAAACCCCTGAATGAATAGAACACAATCTGCCACCGTATTAATTGTTAACTCCTGAATAAATAGACCCATCACTATCTCCTCCCTTATTTCTGCTTCCACAACCCCCTCGAGCGTGTGATCATTGAACCTGAACCCGTTTTGTCTACTTATTATATACATTAATGCATACGGATATGTAGGCAGCTCTAAAAGAAGCGCATGGAGTTTTCCGTTAGCGTAATTGAAGCGTCAAACGGATGTAATATAATCGTTGTTATATCTTACAATGTCTCCGACACTTCAGTAGATTATCGTCATCATTACCATTTATTATTGTCCAGCGCCACGCATCAACGCCAGAAGGGACACAAAAAGAAAAGAGAGAAAAATAGAAAGGTAAAGAAAAGAGAAACTTAGGTGGAAAAACTCCTTTGGGGTTCGGATTTGTTTATATGGTTGGTTTGTCGGTTGGTTGATTGGTTGATTGGTTGGTTGGTTGTGATTATTATTTGTGTTGTTATAGCTCATCTACAACACGGATCGATGGGTATGTTTGACAGTTCTTTCCGTTTCACGAAATGAATGGACCTGTACCACCCACCCAACAGAAAAGTAGACTTTTTTTTTACCGAGACAACTTTGCGGGTGTCGAACCCGGACCGGGGCTTTCGCGGCCTAAAGGCTAAGGTGTTCGCCTATCATTCAATAAGTCACGGGTTCGAATCCAAATCATCATCATCATCCAGTGCCAGATCTGCGACAGACATTGGCGATCATGGTTCTCCATTCATTCCTTTGCTTGGATGCTCTTTAAAAAAACAACGTTTCCCTGATCGTTCCCCGTTACCCATTTGTTTAGGTTCCCTGAGTAGGTTGCTCAGGGCCTACACCTGCCTCATTTGCCTTCAATTTTGCCAGTGAGAGCTAGATGTTCAAGGCCTTTATGTCCATTCATGAGTCCCAAAAACAGCATTTGTCGTTTCCTTATTGTTGTTAATAGTGAGCGTCCCACGTGGGCTTCATCAAGCACTACTTGATCGAATCCGGATAGCGAGGGAAATTTTTCCTGTCTAAAAATTGTCTCCTTTCACCTCCTTTCCTTCTCTCTAGCAATGTTCTGTCGTCTGCTTTCGTCTCCACTTTCTGCACCCACCCCGTCACCTCCATTGCTCCCTCCTCTGAGCTCCTGACTCTTTCTACAGCCTTTCTACTGCTACCCCTTGGCTCCTTCTTACTGCTGTCTTTCAGCAACAACCCTGATCCTCTGATAGGAAAGATCTACCCCTCGCCTTCTCGGACAGGGACGAATAATCTCGGAGGTCCCGTATGCAAGCTACGCACGTTAAACATCCCTTGGTGGTTCAAATCGATACGAGTAGGCTTCGGTCTCCACTCGGGCAAAATTCAAAATTTCCTACCAACTGAAAATGTTTAATGTGTCCCGCGCGCTCATAATATATGACCGTATGCAGTTGCAGTGAGCGCCGTAAAAACGTATCCCCCCCCCCCCCTGAATAAAGAACCCTGACCATCAATAAGACAATGAGTTGAGTCTTTTCTTGTCCAAAACCTGTCGACTCTGTTGCTATAGATCTTGTCATGTTTCTATTTATAAGTAAATAAGCAGAAACAATTACATCCGCACTCTATGGGGGATCTCATCTTATCTTATAGTATTGCTAAAACTGTCCGGCGTGTGGTTGGCGGGTGTTTTGGTGTGATAACCTCCTTCTTTCCTAAAAAATAAGAAACCCCAAAACCGGTAAATAAATAAATAAAATCTGTGGTCCTTATCTCTCCTGCTTCTTTTTTTTATGTTTGTTACTATTACTATCCTGTGACATCTCTGAAACTTCGGCTTTTTAATGATTCTGCCAGTGCCGAAAATCTCTTAATAAAACGAAACAAACTATCCGATAGAACACAACAATTCATAGCTCTGCCTTCTTTCAACAAACTTACAGGAAGTAAATTGCAAGACGTGACATAAGCAGATGTGATATGTGAGTGGGGGAAATCTGGAGGGTTTGTATTGGGAGGGGGGAGGGGGGTGCAATGGCCCCTCTTGTTGTGATATTCTTTATTGTTTGTTTCGCTGTCTCTTTTTGCATATCGCATGAACTCTTTCCCGGCCCTTACTTATCCCGCTCGAGCTATTCTCCGAAAAATTGAGGATTGTTGGGCATTCTGATGGGGAACTAAGGACAGCTTTAGTTTCTGTATCCGCAATGTGAATTAGTGAAGTGAGAAGCAATAATTGCTGAACAGGACGTGGGAATATGCAATGTTCAATGTCCAGTCTAGCAGTTTGTATTTTACAAGGCAATCTCTATAAATACCAAACGGATCTTAATTATGTTATATCAGGGTAGTCTACTAAAAGAGTCCACCATCCCTCCCCCTCCCT